CCCCAAAACCCCAAAACCCCAAAACCCCGCTGTTATTTTATTGCAGAATTATAGCTCTTGATAAAATATAGATAATATATATTTAGCAAATAAAATAGCAAGATGTCTCAAGAAGTCAAAGCTCCTGAAAAATCCTCACCGTAAGCCCATTTATTTGTTAATACTTTTTGTTTAGTGAGGTTGGAACTATGCAGAAAGGAGATTATATGATCCATGTAAGTATAAGACATTATAAGCATTGATATTTGCAATATCACATAAATATCCTTGAGAGAGCATTTCCTGTGAATGCTCTAAATATGTGATAAATTTTATGAGACAATTGAAATTAATATATTTCTAGGTCTATATCTAGGAGGGAAAAGAGTTCAAAGGGGAAAAAGCGTAAGGATTGTTTGCAAATAATTGTCTTTTCTAGTGATACTGTTTCACCAATGATTCAAGTTGCTTGTGGAGGGAAAAATAAGTACTCTACTTGCAAGAAAGATGTAGGACCTGCAAGTAGTGTCTACTGGGGGGAACACATATTCTTTGAGATGACTAATGTCGTAAATAAAAGTTTAAGTTTAAAGCATAATTTAGACAAAAAATGAGATTGAATCGTCACAGATACAGATTAGAATCTTAAATAAAGGCTTTTTGAAGGATGAACTTATAGGTAGTTACTTTTAATTGTTAAATGAGATATGTAGGATCTTATGATTTCGATGTTACTTACGTATATTTCTAGCAAAATCACACTCTATATAATCAATGGATAGCCCTTTCTAACCCAGAAGGAAAAGATTTCAATGAGATTACTTGCTATGTTAAATTAGCCATTAGCATCGCAGGTCCAGGTGATGAGCAGGTGCAATTGAATGACTAGACTGAATTGAAATAAGAGGATCAAGAAGTTATGATGCCACCATAAATCAGAAAAGAATATAAACAACTCATTATTAGATTTATAAAGGGTGAGAAATTCCCAAAGATGGACACTCTTGGTACTATTGATGCTTATATCTACACTGTTTACTTTAAAAAGAAACTAAAAACTAAAGCTGTAACTTAGACTAAAAGTCAAGAATGTTTCTTAGAATAAGAATTTTATTTGCCTATTTAATGGCCTTTAGCCTCTGATAGACTGGTACTCAGTGTTTATGATGAAGACAATGTCTCAGATGAAATCGTAGGCTCAATGAATTTCAGTCTTAAATAACTCATCAAATCGTCATCTGGTCCAGAAGGTAGATTGACCTGGCTTAATTTATATGGATCTCCCTTAGGATGTAGTGGTGAGAATACTAATAAAATGAATGAATATCCAGAATTAGCCTCTACTTGGAAAGGTAGAATTCTGATGCACATTGTTGCAAATGATACAAAAAACCCAGAAATGAAGGTTCAACCTTTGCTTCCTGAGCTAAAAAATAAGTATGTGGATTTGGGAGCTTTCAATCAATAAGAATATGAACTATTGGTAGAATTCGGGAGCGGAATAAGTCTTCCAGGAAACAAAAAGTACAAAATGAGAGTGCAAATCAATGACTTTTTCTATGATTCTAAAGTTGCCATTGAAGCTAAAGGAAATTATAATAGATGGAGTGATAGATCACCAGTCACACCATTCAAAGGACCATATAAGTCAATTGAGGAATTAGGTAAAGTTTATTTCTACTTAATGGATGGAGATGATCCAATTTGTTTCTGGGCAGGCCAAGCGTCTGAATTTACTAATCCTAATGCACCTCATAAATGGCTACCTTTATAATGTGATTTAGCCAAAGGGAAAGTTAAAAATTCCTGGGAAGCTGGCCTAATTTCAGTTAAGCTCTCTATTAACCACAAATCAAAGAATGGCGCTGTCAATTTCGCTTAGAATGAAGCTTGGAAAAAACCTCCTCCTAAGAGATTGAGTTCATGGAAGGTTAGATGCTTCATTTTCTAGTGCAAAGATATTCCTTCAGCTGATAGTGATGGGGCCTCAGATCCATACATTACAATTTGGAACCCTGACAACAAAGTAGTAAAGACGCAGACTATTGATGATAATATCAATCCCATATTCTTTGAGGCACTAGAAATTTATTATGATTTTGATAAGCTTGAAACTGCTCCACCAGTTGTCCTTAATATATGGGATGCTGATGACCTACTTGACGCTGATGATTACCTTGGGAGATGTGTGGTGTATCTTAAAGATGCTTCGATTACAGAGACTGATAAGATTCCAGAACCTAAATGGCATGATATTAGAATTGGCTTCTCTGAGAGTGAGCCAGCCTGTGGTCAAATGCTTGTTTCATTTGCAGTAGTAAATGATGATTTCACTTTTAAAACACCGATTTCCTACTTAAAACTGACTGATGAAATTGAATACAAAGACTTCAATTGTGAGATTAATGTTTTAGGACTTAGAGGATTATAATCTTTTGGTCTGATGCCAGTCAAAAAGCCATTCATTAAATTCAATCTCAGAAGTTTACTCCCTCCCGAGAAAGCATAAGCTGTTACAAATATTAAGACTCAGCCAAATGCTACAGGATCAAATCCTAATATAAATACTATGATCAGCTTCTAAATTGATCTTCCAGTAAATCCTCTATTTTGCCCTAAACTTCAATGTGATGTCTACGATTATGTATACAAAGGACTTGTACAGCCTTTATTAGGAACATTCACACTTTCAATTGGAGATATCATGCATCAAATTAATAAAGAAAGATAACAGGATATTGAAGAAAGCGAAAATATTGTTGTGTATCTCAAGGATTTTATAGATAAAATGGGGAAATAATAGATTCTAGCAATCTAAGAGGATTAAGATCCAAATATGTCTTTTATCGATAGAAAAGTTGAAGGTTTGAACAAGCTAGGAGAAGATAGACTACAAACAGATAATGCCTCTGGGGAAGAAAAGCAAAGACTTTTAAAAGATCCTTTATAAAAACCTATAACTTTTAGAGAATCTGTTATAAGTTCTTCTGGTGGACCAGATGAAGAGGAAAAGAAGACATTGCTTGATCAAACAGAAGCAGAAGAGCCAGAGAGATCGAAATCTAGATCGAGGTCAAAATCTCCAATGGATATCACTCCTGACAGAGTAAGGAGAAGAGCTGCCCCATCAATTTTCAAAAAAGGTGCTGATAACAAAGTACTTAATGGCATGGAATTAGGAGTAAGTCTCAAAGTAATGATTGAGAAGCAAAAGAACAAAGATGAAGAGTTCAAGAAACTGCAAGAAGATAGATAAAATGATCTAATTATGCTGAAGAAAGCTGGAGATGCTCATAAAAATGTCATATTTCCAAAGTATGTCTATGAGGAAAGAATAAAGAAGAAGGTAGAAGCGTAACCCAAGCCCCCTAATACAATTTACTATGAAGTTGGATATGATAAAGAAGCACCTGAAACTGAAGAAAAATAATAGAAACATTACAGAAGATACTATTCAGATGAACTTGAGAATATAAAGGCCATATTTCCAAGATAAACTTTTAATCAAGCTGATGTCATTAGAGGGTAATCAAGAGGTCTCAGTGATGGCTGGTTCAGTTTCCTAGTCAAGTCAAAGACCGATGAATCAGGATAGAACACAAACTAGAAGAAAGTTGGTTATTTTAAGGGAAGAATCACAGTTGAAAATGCTTAAGAAAAGGTATTTTACAAGAAGCAGAAAGAATCAAGAATGCAATTAGTTCTTAAAGAACTAGATGAAATTCATAGAAGAATCTATGGAAAAGAATTAAACTTCTAGACTTAAGATTTAGAATCTTTCGAAAAGGCCTCTGCTTTTGAGCATAAACTTGAAGAAATGGGAATTACCAACCCAACTATAATGTCATTCTTAAAGGAATAATCTTATGAGGAAATGATTGCTAGAATGTTGCTGCAAAAAACAAAGTGCATTATCAGATTATATGTTCTTGAAGGTTTCGATTTTGCTTAAAGAGATATTGGTTCTTTCTCAGATCCATATCTAGTTGTGAAATGTGGTACTAAAAAATTCAACGAGAGAAGTAATTATATGCTAGATGAGCCTAATCCTAAATTCCATAAAATGTATGAATTTGATGCTGAATTTCCAGGTTCTGCTCCACTAATTATCAAAGCCTACGACTATGACGATCTCTTTGGTGATGATTTGATTGGTAAAACAGTCGTAGATCTTGATGATAGATTCTTCTGTCCTGAATGGCAGCAGATTGAGGATAAGCCGATTGAATTTAGATAACTTCATCATCCTAGTTCAGATTGCTCTTAGGGTGTTATCAAGCTATGGGTTGAAATTCTTGCTACAAATAGTTCAAGGAAAGGAAACCCCAGAAATTGGGATGTGACACCAGAACCTATTCTCGAATATGAGGTCAGACTTGTAGTCTATGACACTAAAGATACTCTTGTAATGGATGTTGAAGATGTAAGCGATGTTTTCATTAAGGCCTATATTGATGATAAGGATAGAAAAGAAACAGATTGCCATTACAGATGTTAGAAGGGTGAAGCCTCTTTCAATTATAGATTGCTCTTCAATATTAAAGCCCCGAGAGCAAAGTACGATTTGACTTTATAGACTTGGGACAGAGATCTATTCAAATCAAATGATTTTATTGGAGAAATTTAATTCCCCCTGCAGCATGTTTTCTAAGATGCTATGGTTACCTAATAACCAATTAATATTACCAAGAAATACTATAACTCCTATCTTAAAGAATAATTGGACAAGATTGGAAAGGGTGATGTTATTAAGAAGTTTGAAGACGATGATTCATTCTTCGTGGACACTTTTGACAAAGATGGAAAATCTGCTGGTCTAGTAAGAATCGGTCTTGGCATATTCCCTGGAGAAATGGCTAAATCAAACCCAGTAGGAGGAGGAAGATCAGAACCTAATCATTCTCCTTTCCTTCCTCCGCCAGTTGGAAGACTTACTTTTTCATTAAATCCTCTAACTCTTTTCGTAAGTGATATTAAGATTTTATTATTGATAGTTATAATTTGTGGGACCAGAGATGAGAAAGAAAGTTTACTTGTACTGCTGCTGTGCCATTTGTATAATTCTTTGTGTTGCATTATTCCCAATGATTACAAGTAACTTAATATCAGCAGGTATCATGAGCATATTCTCTTCAAAGTGAGTAGGCTACTCGTAAGCGTTGAATATTCCTATTTATGGTAAAGGTATTTAAAGAATAAATCAATCACATTTTCTTATACAAGCTGGGGTTTTGGGGTTTTGGGGTTTTGGGGTTTTGGGG